TACCTTTCAAAAACTTTTCATCCCGTGGGGATCCGGGTTTGAATAGGTCTTAAGTTCCCCCTTGCTTGTCGTAAAAGGCGACTAAATGGGGTGGTCCATCGGATGAGACCATATAAACCGAGACCCCGTGTCACAGCAGGTGTGGCACGATAAAGATCCCACCCTGCTCAAAGGCCATAAGTGCCGAGCAAAGGCCTAAATTTGCAGCCCTTCACCGGCAATGGTGACGTCTCCATATCAGTGAAATATTCTGGAGAGGGACGTTAAACAGTATACAATCAATCAAACACTTATCTTTAGCCATTAATTTTGAACCAAAGCTGCTAGGGCTTTCCTATTTTGCAATTGTACGCTCGTATTTCTTGTGAGAAGACCCTACTTTGGGTACCAACATATTTGATTTGCTTTTAAAAAAGTTAAATCTTCGCTATATTGCCATATAGGGGCATAGCTGTTTCACAAACTCATCTTTTTATACATAAGAGAAGTTGCGGATAACAGATGGATAACCCAAAGAGTAACAGATGGACGGACGGACGTCCCGATCACTATATACCCTCCCACTGATATTATATAAATGGTGCCTGTTTTGGAGGGTAACAGTTGAAATTGACACCCCAAGGAAAACCATTGTCAACCGACGCGTCAGCGGTGGTTGACAATGGTTTTCCGAGGGGTGTCAATTTCAACTGTTACCCTCCAAAACAGGCACCATTTATCTTATTATACTGAATGTCTTCTTGATTTAGTATGTCAGCAAAAAATCGTTTACGTTTAGAAAGCTTTCAAACTCCCCGCTACTTCGAAAAGATTTACTGACCTTTTTATTGTTTATTTGATACTCTACGAGTCCTTTATTATCCAAAGTTTTATTATATCTGGACTTGCAAGCATGTTTCTTCTGTCGTTTGTTGTTTTCAAGTAAGCTACATCGGACGCAAGCTTTTATTGACGTAAAGGTTATTCCCGTTCTTTCAAACGCGCAACTGACGTTTTGAGAATTCTACGGTGAACCGTACGCGCATAATTTCCACGCATGTGACATTACCGTTGTGTTACCCGTTGTCATAATTTTCATAATTTTCGTAAGTCTTTCTCTGTATGCTACAGAATCTTAAAATTAAGATATGATTTTGACTCACTGTGCCGCTTTAAATATTGAGATGTTCTATAAATTACCCTGAATGATTAAGGGGGATGTACAAGCCATATTGGATCTAGTCTGGTGTAAAATAAGAAATACCAAGAATACGCTTAATACTGTACTAAACTAGCCCAAAGTTACTCAAAGTGCTAATGCACTTATTACCTACTGTTAGAGACCAAAATTAATAAATAATTAAGTTTATTTTGTTTTAATTAGGAGGGAATTAATCATGTTAGAACTGCGCAGCTACAGCATTCACGAGATGAAAAATGCACTGAAAATGGTGTTAGTTTGATTCATTGATAATATGGCTACAACCATTTGTTTCGCTTTTTCCTTGTCATTATCCATAATTCTTGAAAATTTGATTTTTCATATGGGTGTCTTCCTGAGGCCATGTGTTTATTTCGTCCGCCATTCCTCTGTCACACTGAGTTCGAATAACATTGATTTTAGAATAAATGCGACAATAATAACATCAAGACACGAAATTACTAAGTAATTATCATTAGGTTATATTACTTGCTACTTTTGTTTGTTGCATCGCATCGTCTGATAAATGAATAAACGCGATTTTAACCCCACTCCAGCAAATCGGGAAAAACTGTTCTGTTTAAAGCTCGAATTTCCTTGTTAATATCATTACACTGAGCACGTGTTTGGCATGTGCATATATCTGCTGTGGATAGATGCGTTTATTACCATGATTATATTTAATTTTTCATGGAACAAGTCTTGATAATTTGTTGGTTTCTTTAAAACTCAAGAAAAAAGATAAAAAATGTCCTAAACATATGAGTTTACGTCGGGTCTTTTTTCTTTGGCGATAGAAGTTATTTTCAAATGGGGCACTGCAAGGAGGATGCTTGGCATTTAATTTGAAAATGTTAAACAATATGCAGCGCATGAATAACAAATATTAATTACATGTCTTACATTCGAAAAGTTGGTACACATGTCTATTTTGTTTAGCAGTTAGAAAGAAACAATAGGCAGTTATAAGATTTCCTTCAGGCACCTCACATAAATAGCCACATTTCTTACAATGACCCACACATTGTATGGAGTAATGTTTGGACATAAAAACGCAGCATATCTCATTAAGTTGACAACGTTGTAAGCTCTCGCTCATTGAATATACGAAGCTTGATAAAATATATTGATTTGTTTCTTTGAAATTTAGAAACAAGCACAATGTTTGCAAAGAAAGGTTCATTGCATATGCTATGTCTATCATCGCAAAAAAAGTGAGAAGCTAACCCCCCCCCCCCCCCCCCCGAAAATCCTATGTTTTTCTAAATAGTGCCAAAGATTAAAAAAGTTTGCATTACTTAAGTATGTGATAGAACATGTACTAGCCTTATAAGACCATTTGTTATAAAAAATATTTGGTTGCCCTCTCTCCCGATCTACTGTATATCTAGAAATGGCCCGACTTTTTTACATCCCATCACACGATATTTTTTTTTCTTCTGTTAACAAATATGTTTAAATTTTAAGGATTTTTTTTCTGACCTATAAATACCGACCCAATAATTTTTCCCTGAGTTGGGAGGACCACCAAACGTCATTTTTAAGATGGTATAAAATATTTCGTTATGTTGTTTTTTTTTTTTTTGTTACTCCGTAAAATTGTAATTTTGACAAAATGGGCAAATAGAAAATAGTTTTTTATTCATTAAATCTTCTAATCTAATGATTCCCCATTCCTTTTCAAATGTTGCTCCGCTGTAATGAAAATTGTAAATGTTTATTTGACAGAGTATACGAGGGGGATCAAAAAGTAAACGGTATCTTAGGTATTTGATAGTTATCTTATTGTTGAAATATTCGAGTATTTTTCAAAGTGTAAATTGGAAGTCTTTCATAACATATTGCTTAATTAAAACACATCCCAAGATAACATATCAAATATCATATTTAACCATTTGCCTTCCGTCACTAAAACGATCTATCCAATCACTGATTGAATTTATAGGAAGTCATTTGTCTTAATAAACTGTGAACAAATTCTTATACGGTACTTCAAAGGCATTTTTAAGATATACCATAAATATTTTAGTCGTTTGTTGAACGAGTTCCACTGAGACAACCATTTTTCGTCACAAGTACCTGCATAATGACGTCATTTTCACATTGTGAGCAAAACTTTATTCAGCATATGCTATTTATAGAATTTGTGTCTGGCTATGTGTGCACTAAATTTGTTTCTAATCTGAATTGTGGTTTTGCAGATACACATGTATTGAGATAGTTGGCGAACTTTTTGATCATCTCCCCTCGTACTAGTAGGTACTAAAAACAAGGTCATTCATATCGATTTTATGTGTTTAATTTCTATGTGTTTCAATAGTGATAACTAAAATTTTAATAGATATTATAAGTTATCTGTGGCAAACTTACAAACTCTCAATTTTTAAGTTTGATGGTGCTCATTTTTCCTTTACTTGAATCAGAGTTTTAGATTTTTGTTTATATCAATACGTACACTATTTAACAACTGTTCGATAAAAATACTAAATAAATTACTTCAAGAAACACTATAACACATTTCCTCTTTTAAAAGTGTTCATTTTATTTGAAATATTTTGCAACTGTAATTCTCTTCTACATTTAAAGATTGTTATGTCCCTCCATATTACGAAGAGGTCTGGAAAACAAAATTCTGTGCTAAAAATAGACCACGTGCTATTATCCATGAACTACTTTTATGGTTATTTACACTCTTTTTGAAGACAACGATACATTGTTTTGAACTTGAAATTATCATATAAAAGTGCAAAATTTAGACATTTTCTCAACAAATGGTTGTAGAGAGAACATTGCTGCACAGTTTGCATATTTTTTTGGATTTTTTAAGGCTTTGCTGATTTCTGTAGCTGCACAGTTCTAAGGAGCATATCAAAAGCATTTTTCTGCAAAAGTATAGATTATTTATGCACAACATGAATTCAGTTATGCATATTTATTGTATCTTTATCATAAAGACTTAAAATTTGATCAAAATATAATGTTTTTTAGCCATTTGAAGTAATGTATACATTTTGTTCTCACTGCACTAAAGGTGGCCGTACATCCCCCTTAAAGCGGCACAGTGAGTCAAAATCATATCTTAATTTTAAGATTCTGTAGCATACAGAGAAAGACTTACGATAATTATGAGTATATAGCGAAGATATGACAATTCAACTGCAAGAATTGACTCCACAATATAAGTGCCGGAAAAACAAAGGTTGTATTAACCGTTTCGTTGTTTCGTATATGTCAAGGTCACGCTACTCTTATTTTTAGCTCAAACTTGTAAACAAAATTCAACTGAAGCATGCAAAGGTGAGAAATATCTTCTTACAACTTTTTAAAAAGATTACATCAAATTTTTTGGTCTACTTATATTCATTCGTGGATACCTGAGACCATGGTAACTATGGAAACTTATTAAACACTTTTCTGCGCACGCGTAAGATAGGGAGGAAGAAGTACCAGGGTATTTTGCAATATTTTCGTTCTGGGGCAGACAGAAATTATTTTTACTTTTATTTTTCCCCATAAAAATTTAATTTTTAGGTTCTGAAACCTGTAATTTTCTGAAACCTAATACTTTAAGGAATTGAACAAAATTTACAGAGGTCATGCGAAAATTCTACATTTGTCAATTTTCCCCTTTGTGCGTCACTGTGCCACTTTAAAGCAAAGGTGTAGAATATTAAAAACCTTCAGACACATAAATTTTGTTTCCCTTGAATCAATTCAAAATTATTTCGTTATACCTGGATTCACATCTTTAAATTCCATAACATTGAATTGCCTGGAGGAAATGAGAAATGTAGTGAATGATACAATGTGTAACAAAATCATAATCTGTCTATACAGAAAATCAGTACTTTCTGATGTGACCCTCGGTTCAGAATATGTACACTGATGAATAATTAACGTAGCGAGCAGTGGACAAAATGGTCATTCTTTTTCAACGTAAAATGTTGACAAATTGCACTGTTGTGTATACCAATCATCTAAATACACAATCGATGGATTCTGCACGTTTTTTTCAATGATTGAAATACAGAGGATTTGTCAATACTAGCTGTTAAATAAGAGAACATGAAGGCTTCAGATTTGATCATGCTTGGGATATTTTACACAATTATTGGACGTGTATCAGGACAGTCGGGGACAGACATGAGGAATCTATATACCTACCTCTTTACAACCAGTGGATACAACAATAACATACGTCCGGTTGTGAACCAGAGTGTACCTACACAGGTATCAGTAGACCTTCTGTTGACGGGCCTTCTTGGGATAGACGAAGCTAAGCAGCAAATGGGATCTGTCGGTACTCTAATTATAAAATGGCGGGACGAATTCCTCTCTTGGACCCCGTCATCATATGGGGAAGCAATGTATTTTGATCTTCCTCAAGATCTGATCTGGAAGCCGGATTTACAAGTTTTCAATGGCCTGACTGACTTTACAAACTTGGGTGGAAGTTTTATGACTGTGCGGGTGTTTAGTACAGGAGATGTTATTTGGATGCCATATAAAGTATTTCAGACTAAATGTAGGATTGACGTCACCTATTTTCCCTTTGACCGACAGAAGTGCCAGATAACGATGGTAGCCTGGAACAGTGATGCATCCTCAGTGTCACTTACAATAGGGACAAACGGCATGCAAATAGATGAAGATATAAATGATGGGCAATGGACATTATCGAGTCCAAAAGCTGATGTCAGAGTAGATGATAACCAGTCCTTGATAACGTTTGAATTAATGTTAAAAAGAAAACCAAAAGTCTTCGTTCTCAATATAATGATTCCTATGTTTTTTCTTATAGTTCTAGATGTGTTTACTTTCATAATCCCTAACGATAGCGGGGAGAAAATATCATACTCTGTTGCTGTTATGTTGGCGTTATCTATATTCATGACAGTGGTGACTAGTATACTTCCGCCTACGTCATATTCTACGTCATATCTGGAAATGTATATTATACTTATTTTGGCATTAGGAACTTTGATACTTATTATAACGGCAATCTCTTTAAGAATTCATGAAAGGGGCCAGGATAGAGAAATACCTTTTTGGCTACAGAAATTGACAGTGCTTTCTTGGAAATTAAATTGTCGGTCTCGAAACAATTCAGTTCGGTTTATTTATCCGAACAAAATGGACAGTATAAGTAACAACGAAGTAGAGATGGATGTTAAAAATACGAAGGACACAATGAATATAAATAATAAACAAAATGAGTCTGTTTTCTGGACTGATGTTACATCAGCGGTAGATTTCTTCATGTTTTGGATATTTTCATTTATTATTTTGATAGCATCTGCTTCTCTGCTTGGACTTGCTGCCTCCAGTTAAACTAACGAAAAATGTATTACAAGTCAGTTTTAAATCAATTCTGGATATCCACCTGATATAATGATGTATTTTCATCTCTCTGATTGTCCTTTGCAGAAAAGTTTTTTTCATTTAGGATTGAATTAGCTACGTCTTGAATGATATTTAATGTACATGAAATGTCTTCAATTCTCACAACAATTGTTCATGTACATGTGTATTTTATATTAAATATAGACCGAGTCTTAGGATTTTCTGAGTTAACCAATAAGCTGAAGCATCCATGTATTTCAATCGTTACCAAGTGTTGCTATGAATCTGCGCAGTAAATATTTGCAATATCAACTGGGTTAACATAAAAATCATTACAAAAAATTAGTACTGTTTGCATAACAAATAAAGAAATAAAAAGTTAAATGCATTTTGAATTTCCTTTTATGTTTGTAATTGTTTGGTGAGTTGAGGTTCGAGGTCATTAATCGGAAGGATTTACAATTGTAACCACTCTAATGTTAGTAATAGATAACCACATTGTACCAGTATTATCATTAACAAGCCGTAAAAGGTTACAATTTTCTTGCATTTAGAACCAATTGTTTGTATCTAATTTTCCACCAATGTTTTATTTTATTTTATCATTACTCATTCCTAACTTTAGAATGTACTTTTAATTATATGATAATACTTTGTCTTTAGAAATTAATATGCTTTTACCTTTTTATTAAATGACGATTATTTGACACTATGTCATGATAATTTGAAATTAAGAGCTGATACTTTTTATAAGTTGAGGACACTATGACATAAGTCTATGATACTTTGATAGTTCTCCTGTATTCTAAATATAGTGTATTTACAATTAAAATGGAAACTAAGCAACAAGCAACACAGGATAAACGTTTCATTTATTGAGGTAAAGCAGAGAAATCCATATTCACCCGATAAGATTTCCAATGACGTTTCTGCAAAAGGAACAAGGTAAGTCGGTTGAGAATGATTGCATTTGTAATTTTGTAATCACACTATAGGAACATATTATAACCCAATTCTTTATTCGCCCAAAACCAGATTACTGGTACAAGAGGTACATATATACAAACAAAAATTACAGTCAAGGGTCAAGAGATAGAGAAGTATATAAAGAAAAAGAAAGGAGTGAGGAAAACATATAGTCAGTTATATATAAAACACACGGAGGATTCAAGAAGGACTGACAATTTTGAAAATTTTCTTGATAAATTTTGACAATGATTTTTGTATTTCTACATTATTACTGTTCATTAGTTCATTAGATTTGAAAGTGTTAGGATTTTTACAATATCTATTTTGGAGAAATATTTTTCTGTCATTCGAAAAGTACTTGCATTCCATAACATAATGATATTCATCACCAACAGTTTTACAATCACAAATGGTATATATTCTTAAATTTCTATCAATATTATGCCATCTACCCTTTTCAATTAGCAAATGGTGATTACAATTCGCAGTTTTGTAAGTGTAACTCCTAATTTTTTTTGGTAAATTCAGCAGATAATTTTCTAAACCAAAGTTTGTTTTAAAAATTCTATAATTAATACACTTGGATGAACTATTAACAATGCTTCTCCATTCTTGTTCAGATTGACATTTTAGGATATCTTTAATGATTGACTTAAGCCAGTTAAAGCTACGAAATGTCTGACTTGTCCATATATAGGGCAATCCACCAAAATTAAGTACATCTTGTACACATATTATTCATGGATATTCAAAAGATCCATCAATATAACATCTATTAAAATATGAATAAATAACATTTGTGAGCTTACTTCCATCGGCTGTTAAAATTTATGCCCAGTACATAACCATTTTTTAATTTTATTAATATTGACAGTGGATATCTACCTGTTTCTCCATACACTATGCAATTTGGGGTACTAGATTTAAAATTAAGCATAAATTTCAGAAATTTTAAGTGTACTTTTTCTGTTATGTCTAAATTTTCATATCCCCAAACTTCCCAAGAATAAAGTAAAATTGGGTTGATGACTTTATTAAATACTCGTAAGTCTTTAGCTGACAATTAATTGATAAATTAAAATATCGAATTTTACGTAAGACTCCTGCTTTTGAAGTTTATTCTGTTAATTTTTTTTGCATTATTAAACTTTCCACTTCTTGACAGGAATAAACCCAAGTAACAAAATCCTTTCACATTTTCGATAGCCACATCATTATCATGATTATATAAAAAATTACGTTTTATCATTCGACCTTTAGAAACAATAAGGACTTTTGTTTTGGCTATGTTAACACGGAGTTTCCATAAATCACAGTATTTGAAGCAAACACTTCAAGTGACTTTTGTAAATCAGAAGCAGAATCAGACGTTAAGACCGTATCATCAGCTTAAAAAATTCATTACAAATTATTCACGTTCTTACTATCGTTGATACCCCGGCATATCTAAAAAACTAGACAGTGATTCCTTAAATACATGAACCGTCATAATCATCGATTATATATGTATTGATTTCCGCTAATTATCAGTATTCAAGTAAATACATGTATACTCAACTCACTGCTTCTCGCAAATATAATAAGCATCGGTGTCGCAGTCCTCATCATTCCATTGGTAATATAGACTCTGCTCCTTATCCAAACAATTTTCACCGAAAAAGTTGTTCGGTTTACCTGGCGCAAAGTTGGAGTACTGTAGTATTTTACCATCTGGTTCCCAAACCCACGAACCTTCAACTGCCCAGTCAGAGCCCCCGAGCCATGTATTTCTGACTAAAGAGGAAGAAATTAATACATATAAGTCGTGGTCACCTAAAATCTGATTTTGAATTTTATTACAAATTTAAAAAAAATCAATTTTTTCTTATTCGCTACTTGCTGATTTGTATTTTTGTAATAATATTACAGTACTAGCGGAAATATTCAAATGGTCTGTTTACTTATTCAATGTGTTTGATAATGAAAAAAAGGTTTAGCAACGAAGCAAAAACAATATTTTAGATCTCCGCATCTACAAAGCAGTATGTGTACAGTTGGATAATATCAATTGTTAGTTGAAGCTTAAAAACGTTCCAACAAAATTCTGCAGATGTATGCCAGCCACCATAAATATATATATACCGATGTAGTGGGCCGTTTAGCGTGTTGAACTTTTTCATATAAAGACCCTTACCTCAGTTTTTTCCTGTCAATTATTTGACGAAGGAACAGTTACCATTTTTTTTAATTTAAGGTCTCGCTAAGAATCGAAAATGAATTTCGAAGGAGAAAAATTATACGTTAATATCTGTCAATCTCATTAAAATTATATCTGTTTTGAAAGTAGAATGAACACTAGCGCATCATAGATATGATTTTGATAATTAACAGGGAATAGCAGTGATCTTTCGAAAATGTACCTTTCATTGTAGTAATATCAGACAATGATAGTCGAAATAAAATAATTAATCCATCATTAAGATATTGAAAACCCGTGAAGTTTTATTGAGAAGAAATGATGACTGGTTGCGTAATTATTGTTCTCTAGAGCTTGATCACGAACTGCATGAAGGTTAACAAATCTATTTTTTATTGACGAATCTGAACGGAAAAATTATCTCATGAAAAAGAAATAATATCTCGTTTTCGTGAGATAACATTACTTGAAAACGACTTATTATCTCGTGAAAATGACTAATCTTATTTTCTCGGTCTCACGAGATGTTATAATTTCTGTTCTGACATCATAATTTTTCATAAGCTAAAGAGTCGGCTCACTCTTCTAGAATTATATTTTCAAAGTCATTTCAAGAGTTGAAGTCACTGCCCACAAACACAATTGATAGTGAAACTGAATCATTTTTATACATTTTGAGTGTATAGACTCACAATAGAACTCACTTGAATGTATACGCATTTGTTGAGCTATAAATTCATCTTCTTCTGCTGTCTCTATTTGAACCAAAGTACCACCATGTATTTCACACATTTTCTGTCATAGATAATTAAAAGAAAAAGATATAAATTGCCTGAGCATTATGTAAAGAAGAAATTTATTCGTTAAGTATCAAGATCAAGTCTTTCCACAATAAAGACATAACCTGAACAATAAAAGGCATATTACCATCCCATCCATCCACGATTCCTCCTCTAATGACACATGATAGCAGGAGTTCTTGAATAGCTGCCACCCTGGTGGACATCCCTCATCTAAATATAGTTTATATTGAAATATTGAGAGAGAGAGAGAGAGAGAGAGAGAGAGAGAGAGAGAGAGAGAGAGAGAGAGAGAGAGAGAGAGAGAGAGAAATGTACCTATAGAAATTAGAACTGTGTAAACAAGTATTTTCCTGTAAGCTGACAACATGTTTGTTACGTATTATATCCTATCTTATGATTGCCAGGTCAAAGGCAGTGTACTTGCGATTGAAATAAGATAATGATTTAGAATGACTTTTTAACCCCATTTGCGACTCGGAGTGGTAATTTAATTTCTGAAACCTTTTTTGCATATCTATTGAAACCTAACAATAACATAAACAAATAATTTTTGAAACCTCTTGGCTACATAAAATATAAAAAGAGTTACCACGTGGCTGAAAAACGAAATTCCGAAACCTTAATGCACATGTACAGGATCATATTCCAAAACATGAATGGCCAACTGCGAAAAAATTTAGTAGAAGTTCAAGGGAGAACGAGTACGATTTCGTAGAAAACCCTGTTTTGACACGCTTTACCTACATAATTGTCTACAAATTTTCCATTATTTCAAGAGAATGACAATAAGCACAGTGCGGTTGTGACCAGTCGGTAAAATATCCTCACACCTATTCGATCTGATCCAACCCCTTTTATTTTTGAGGTCCAAGCTTGCTGTAATCGCGTTTTGTAAAAATGGACTTTGAGTTTTTTTCTAGATAAAAGTAGAGATGTCATTAGATATTGATGCGCGGGCTCCGCGATCCCACCTCCGATGTTTCGAAGGTCTGTTCCTATGAGGACTTCATGACCCCACCTCCGATGTTTTAAAGGTCTGTTCCTATGAGGGCTTCTTGATCCCACCTCCGATGTTTTAAAGGTCTGTTCCTATGAGGGCTTCTTGATCCCACCTCCGATGTTTTGTAGGTCTGTTCCTATGAGGGCTTCTTGATCCCACCTCCGATGTTTTGTAGGTCTGTTCCTATGAGGGCTTCTTGATCCCACCTCGGATGTTTTGAAGGTCTGTTCCTATGAGGGCTTCTTGATCCCACCTCGGATGTTTTAAAGGTCTGTTCCTATGAGGGCTTCTTGATCCCACCTCGGATGTTTTAAAGGTCTGTTCCTATGAGGGCTTCTTGATCCCACCTCGGATGTTTTGAAGGTCTGTTCCTATGAGGGCTTCTCGA